TGCCGGCGGGCGCTGCCCATCCGCTCAGGATCTGTCCCGCTGTGGGTCTGATCCTGCCCAGCACAGGCAGGGGCAGGCAGGGCCAACGCTGGCATCAGGCGCGTCCCATAGGATTGACCAGGGCGAGGAATTCCTGGGCGAGGGGCCGGGCCTGGGGCTTTGTTGACAGCCCCAGGTTGGCAGGATTGGACTGGACGAGACGTTCCCTTTGGACCTGGTGGGACCTCGCTGGGGTTGAGTCTGGGGTCGCTGATGCTGCTGAGGGTGCTGTAGCCATTCAGAGAGCTCCATCCATTGGCAATTAGGCTGTCCTTGTCTGGCATCCAGATTAATCCCACTTTTAATTATTTTGAAACTGTGTGAGCTTTCCCAGGCATTAAAGATTATGTACCCACTTGCTGATTCCACAGCAATTATTCTAATGTAATGATGTCTATTAATACACTTCCCAGTTTGCCACGCCCAGAGGGGAAATTCCCAGTTTCTCCCTGTGGAGCACACATCTCCTGCATCGTGTAACTCCCCTATCCACCTGCTTGCGTCGCACAAAGTAATACTTCCCATGTGCTTCACCTAATAACATCACAGATCTGTTGCTGTTCCAAGCACCAGGCATCGACTGCAAAGAAGGAGAGAGGCCCCTTGAGGCTCCTGCCGTGAGGACGGCAGTGGAGACCGCGCTTCAAAAGCCAGGAGCATCCTTCCTTCCTTCCCTGGGAAACTGCTCCAGAGCTCACACTTGGCTGCAGCCACCCCAAAAATGCAGCTTGTGTTTGTAGGGCTTTTGGAAAGGAAAAGTGCACAACATTTCCATCCTGGGTCAGGCTACAACATTTGACCTGAAAGCAAAGGTTTAATTCAGTCTGTGGATCACTTCAACCCACTGAAGATAGCCTTTACAATTTAAAGATAGTATTTAAAAGAAGAACACCATTTCAAAGAGGAACAGTGTCAGAAGCGTGAGCTGAGCACCTCAAACCAGAGAGCTGGTCCTTAATCATTTGGCCTAAATATCCCTTGTACTCATCCCTTTTCATTACAGCTGTCATCATTCCCAAACTTCGGTTACCAGAAAATGCGCTCTTCAGTGGCAAAATGAGAGGTGTGCCCCTGGCCACCAAACGTGTGCCACAGGGCTGAGACCCCATCAGCAGAAAGAGGGCTCAAGTGAATGTGATGCCAGCAACGGTTTGCAGACCTTGGTCCATGAATGCCCATCAGAAAAACCTCTGCACTTTATATAGTTTATGTAGAGCTTTATATCAACATCTGCTTGCAAGTGGAAACCTTATTGCAGTCATACAAAGAAGATACGAGTTCCACAAGCTGGGAATACCAAGGGATGGCAGCAGTTCTGAACATGAACACTCAGCCCTCACTACAAGTATTATAATTGCTTTGCATATATATTGTTTCAGCATTTCATTGCTCCCCAAACAAGCAGCAATATAACCCCACCTGCCTGGCCCAATGCAGCCCCACAGAGCTCAACCACATGACAGCGTTTCTAGGTAGAGCCTGTAGGTAATTCGGCTGATGGATCCTCTGGAAGCTTAGACTCAAAGTCAATTTCAGTTCTAAACACGTCACTCAGTCTCTAGAGGCAGCAGAGCAGCAATATCAGCACGACGGCATCAAGTTAACTCCGAACTCCAGGAATGGTTTAAATGAAATTACACTCTTCCCTGATGAGGCTGCTGGAACAGTGAGATTGCTTTAGGAAATCCAGAACTGAATTCCATAGGGAAGAGTTCAGCTGTTGTGCTATTTGCTCAGGAAGGGTTTGCGCAGGCGGTTCCTCCCCACCATGGCTGGCACAGAGCCTGGATCCCACCTTTCATGGGATCACAACTTGGTTTGTCATTGCTCCATCTGCTTTGTTGATGAACTTTGCAACCTCTTTATATAATGTGGTATTACTTTGCTGTAATATGTGTTTGCTTCCAATTATGTTATTTTTGAGTAAAAAAACAACTAATGGGCTTTTCGATGCACTCTTTATAATTCACACATTATCCAAAGTGATCAGAGCCTGGATAAGATGCGACAGGTACCAGTGCAATTGCTGTTTCAGCAATCACTGAGGAAAGAAGGCAAGCTGATACATCTCTCTTAAAATTCAGCCAGGAATACCAGGTAATTGAGGCTCAGGGGAGACCTTATTGCTCTCTACAACTGCCCGACAGGAGGATGGAGCCAGGAGGGGGCTGGTCTCTGCTCCCAAGGAACAAGGGATGGGACAAGAGGAAACAGCCTCAAGCTGCCCCAGGGCAGGTTTAGATGGAGCTGAGGAACAATTCCTTGCCCAGAGGGTGCTCAGGCATTGGAACAGGCTGCCCAGGGCAGGGCTGGAGTCACCACCCCTGCAAGTGTTCACAGCCCGTGTAGCCGAGGCCTCAGTGCCAGGGGTTAGTGGTGGCTTTGGCAGTGCTGGGGAGTGGTTGGACTGGATGAGCTTAAAGGCCTTTTCCAACCTGGTTGATTTTACGATTCTAGGATTCTGTGTTGTCTGATAGGGAAATAATCACATGAAAATCAAGAGTCTGTAGTTAAATTTTATTTATCAGTTCTATTGTTAAATTACACAATCAAAGTCAGTGGATTGGCCTGTAAATCTACACAATAAGACAGCGTCTACAGTGGAAATCAGTAGAATCTGATATGGTTCTGACAAAATGGTATCCTTATATTCATACATCCCCTATATACAATAAACAGTATACACAAAGAAAATGCAACTAGTTTCTGTAAACCATGCACACCACAGCGTAAAACCAAAATGCACCTTCGCAACAGGCCCTCTGGCTCACCCTCGGTTCATCCTGTTTACAGCAGTGCCTTTCCGTTTGAACAGCCATTTATTTCCCCCCGTGAAAACTCAAGTACAACTCAGACATCATATTGGCAACTGCAGTTCTCACCTAACAAAAAAATTAAATAGAAATTGCTGTACATGAAGTTATTTCTCTTTTCCAAGCTGCTAACGCAGGGTATTGGTTTGCTGCTGCTTTGCTCTTCGCTTGCCCCCGGCAACATTGCTGCCTCCCAGGTCACAACACAACATCAGATGTGAAACCACTTCCAGACAACTGAGGCGTGGAGCCGTAAAGGTGTTGTTAAAGCCTTCTGCCTCATTTTATGCACACACCCCCCCCCCCCCACCCCCTTGGTGTCTG